TACTACTACTACTACTACTACTACTACTACTACAACTACAACTACAACTACAACTACTACTACTACTACTACTACTACTACTACTACTACTACTACTACTACTACTACTACTACTACTACTACTACTACTAGCAGTAGTCGGAGTAGGCCCGTTCTCTTGGAGGGCCGCGAGAGGCAGCACGCCGCGCCTCCGCCGCCCTCCTGTCGACCTCCACCTGCAGCCGGGCGGTCTCGGCGGCGGTGGCTTCCGCCTGGGGGCCGGCGGGGGGGCCAGGCGGCAGTGGTGGCGACGAAAGGGCAGTGGGAGGGCCAGATGGGTGGGGAACGCGCTAACATGTACGGCCCATCGCGGAGGATGGGAGGGCCATCCAGGATGGGAGGGCCTCAAGGGGTAGGTAAAATGTCGAGTAGGGAGGCGGATCAAGTAGATTGGGTCTGGGCCCGCCCAGAGAACAACACAACAGAGCAAAAGCATGTGCATTCTTGAAATAGGAAGGCGCTCGAACAAAATCAGGATCCGGCAACCAAAAATACCCACTTCAACGACCAGTGTGTAGCAGGGATCCGTGGATCTGGCGCACGGAAGCCAGATCCACAGATTGGAAGCCCCCACTCACCGAAAAAGAAAGCCAATGCCGCCTGGTTTGGCCAGGGAGCGCGCGGATCCCTTCCGGAAGCGGGGCCCGCCCTCAACCAAAACGCGCCGCAATCCATGTTAGCGCTTCCTCGACGGAGGGAGCGGGAGAAGCGGGAGGGTGAGGGGAGGATGCCCCCCCCAGGGGGAAGGAGGGGGCGGAAGGGGAGGAGGTCGAGGGGAGGGTTGGGAGGGATATGCGGCAGGGGCACCCCCATCCTCTCTTTCCTTCTCCCCCTGCTCGTCGTCGTCCTTATCCTCCTCCCCCTTCCTCCCAAGCGAAGGGCCTCCGAAGGAGAAGGGGGGGGCACAAAAGCGGCTATACAAACATGGTGTTTGATTTGTTTCGGAGGGCTGCGAACGGATATCCGAGAGAGATCCGCGCGGGCCTCTCCGAAAAGCAAGATCTGATTGTGCAGATGGTGGCTGTCTTCGGTGAGGGGATGCGAAAGAGACCCCCCCGCCAAGAGGAAAGGAGATGCAGGGAAGAAGAGGGGCAGGAGGTTGGTATTGTTCGAGGGAGGGAAGAAAGGGCCCTCCCGAACAGAATAAAAAGGGGGGGTAGAGACGGAAAAGCGATGGGGCAGGATGTTGGTATTGTTAGAGGGAGGGAAGAAGGGGCCCTCCCCAACATCATAAAAAGGAAGAGGGGGGGGGGTAGAGACGGAAAAGCGAAAAGCGTTGGGGGGGCGATGCAGACCCGCGAGGCTTCTGTTTGCTTCTTCCCGCGGCGGGAAGAGCGTCAGACGGCGGTCGGGCAACGGCGGGGCGCGCCGAAGCACAGCGAGGCAAGGGGAGAAGAGAACGCACCGAGACGCCGGGCGGCAGGGGCTGGCGGGACACAGAAAGGGGCACTCCTCTGTACCGCCGCCTCCTCCCCCCGGCATGTTCTGCGCGGCCTTCAGCATCCTGCCCCTAAAGGCCTTCAGGGGGTGCGCTTGGACCAGAATTGCTCAGGGGGGCCCAGCCGTGGTCAGAAGACTCTCAGAGGCCCTAGGAGGGCATACTGGATAAAACGCGACGAGCAGCTCTCCTCTTCCGAGTGCGCCGATGAGAGGGGGTGGGTGCGCATCATGGCCTGAGGCATGTGCGTAGACGAGGCGGGGCCAGGAAGTGCATTGAAAGAAGAGGGGGCCATGAAATCTGGGAGGCCTGCCGCTGCAATGAGATCCACACACCCCTCCTAGAGGCCTCCCGAATGGGGCATGGGGCCGGAGGATCGCACAGCACATCACATCGCCGATGCATCCGCAACATCGGGGTGGATAAAATCGGGCTCCACATCGAGCCGAAGGGCCGACACCTCGGCGATGCGGAGGGATCAGATTCGGCCCAATCCTGCGGAAACCAACAGGCACCGAGACCGCTACTCCCCGGACATTTCCTGCGTTGCGTTCTGACCCGGATTTCGAGGAGAATCCAGCAGTGGCGACGAGGGCCTCCCTGGCGACCCAGAGAGGGGAAAACGGGCGGAGAGTAGTGGCAGGGGTACCCTTTCCTCCTCCAACCTCCTGGAGGCCTGGACCTCCCCCACCCGTCCTAACCTGGCCCTGGGCGGTGTGGGCGATCAGCCCCCTACTCGGCCAGTAGTGGGCGATTGTGGGTCGAGGCCTCCCTCCCCGAGTCGATCGTCCCCGTAACGCTGCCCTGAGGAGGTGTGGCTTCGGGCCAAGCTCGGCTGCACGCGAGTGACCCTGGGCAAGGAGTGACCTCCAGTGCGCGGATGAAGGAAGCGAAAGGTGGCAAGAAGCCAGGATCGCATCGCGCTCGGCGATCGGGGGGACCCCGGTGAGCCCGCACCAAAGGTCATTCTGGCGAAGGATCACTCTTACGTTAGGTTGGGCATGTCCCCCTGCAGGAGGATTTTGGACGAAGAACGAAAACTACAATCAAAATACCCCCAAATGGCCAAAAATACTCAAAGCATCGTCCCCAGACTATCTTTTGACCATTGCTGAATATTCCTCCTGTAGAGGGACAGGCCAGACTTAACTCTCACGCGTAATCGACAAAATCTGGTCTTCAACGGCCGTTTGGGGCGAGCCGGGCACCCCCGGAACTCCCTCGGCGGGGCGCGGCTGGTGGAAAGAACATCCCGAGGCCGGAGCGTCGACGAGAACGTCCGACCACCTCGAGCCGCGTCCGAAGAGTTCTTCCTCCCCCGACCAGCTCACGCAGCAGGGGCCGACCGTCCTGCCCTGGCCTTCCTCTAGGTCTACCACGAAATTTGCTGGGCACCCAAGAATGTCTGCGGTCTCACAATCAGCGGTTGTCAGAAGATGACCCTGATGCATGAAAGCACGACGGTCCCACAAACAAGTGTTCAGACAACATTTCGCGCTGACCACAAGAGATTCTTAAAACATTATCTCGTGGGCCCATTGGCGAACCTCGACGCGCCGACACTGCTTGAGCCACACCCGTCCGACCCGACCCTTGGGTTCCGCCGCTTAATGGAAGAGATACACGGGGGGGAAGAGAGGTACCGTTCTCGGGCCCTAAGAGGGCCCTTGAGGGGCCCTGGAGGGCCCCTTTTCGGCAGCCCTCGATGCCCCCTTATCGCCCAAGACCCTGTCCGTCCAACTGCGGCCAACGAGTCCTTCCCCCCTTGCCGCGCGGGGAGCGGGCGCGCGAGGGCCAGAGAAAACTCGTCCGAAGGCGCGCTTCTGAGAAGTCCCGCCGCCTTCTGAAGAGGCCGTCCTCCTTCCTCTTCCTTTTCCTCCTCCTCGTCCTCCTCCTCTTCCTCCTCGTCCTCCTCCTCCTTTCCTCGTCCTCCTCCTCTTCCTCCTCCTCCTCCTCTTTCTCCTCCTCCTCCTCCTCCTCCTCCTCCTCCTCCTCCTCCTCCTCTCAAGCAACCGTTTGGGCTCGGACCTTTTGGTGCACAGAGCCCAGCGCGCCTCGGCACTTCCACGCAGTGCTTGAGGGACTTACCTCGGTGTTCGCCCACACCACACTGAGGTACGACTAAGACCGAAGCATCATGGCAAAAACTACCAGCGGTCACGATGTGGAGGATGTGGCCGTTGCGAGTGGAACAACATCCTGATGCGCAGTGCCAACACATGTTCCCACTGCCACGCGAAGTTTGAGATCTATCGTGGAGGCGGCAACCGTCGCAAGACTGTCACGTTCGAGGGCCAGTCGCAAACGGGGGCCGAGATCTTGCACGATGCGCTCGTGAAGGCCCGCAGCCGCAGCCCGTCACCTGGAGGGAAAGGCCGACGCGCAGCACATGGCAAGGGCAAGGAGATGCCCGTGCACGAGCTGCTCCAGCAGGCCATCGGGGCCACCAGCGACCCCCAACTCCAAAAGGCGCTAGAGGACCGGCTCGAGCGCCTGGGCCTGTTGAGTGACTCGCCCGAGACGCCCAGCATCGTGGACAGCCCCAAGAAGGCACACGGGGCCTACCGCCACGCGGAGCACCTCCAAGAGCAGGCGGCCGCCTCGGCCATCCGTCTTCAAGCCAACCTTGAGGCCGCGAGGACCAAGGAGGCAGCGGCTGCTCTCCGCCTCGCGGAGGCCAAGGAGGCCAAGGCGGCGGCGACCAGGGCCCTTGCACATGCTGAAGGACTCCCAAGGGTCCCAACAGCGGGAGCTGACACACGCACGGGGTCTCCTGGCGGCGACGAGAAGAACCCCGCGCCCATGTTCAGGCTTGATTGGGATGAGGGGTTCTTCAGCCAGCTCGGGGAGCTTGAGTGCACCGAGGATGAGCGCAAGAACTTGGAGAAGCTTCGTCTGGGCGCCAAAGCGGCCCGCAGCGACTTGGCACGAGGGGCCAACTCACCACCACCTGGCTCGAGCAAGCCAAGAAGTTCAAGGGGGCCATCAGTGCGCGCATGGCCAAGAAGAGGAAGTCTCAGGGCAGCGAGGCCGCGGGCCCGAAGACGAAGGACGGACAGGGCGCCGAGGCTGAGCCACAGCAGGCCACCAACGCGGCCGCGCCCGCCGAGCCTGCGACGCCCCCCCACGGAACAGCAGGACAAGCTCAAGGCCGAGGCTAAGAAGCTGTTCGAGGCACGGTTCGCCGCCCCAAGCCCAGGCCTCCAAGGCCAAGGGCAAAGGATCGGCGAGCACTGCTGCGACAAGTTCGACAGCCCCCCCGCCCACGGCTTGGCAAACGGAGAAGGGGAAGCCTCGCTCCCAGAAGTCCGAGGCCAACATTGCCAGCGACGAGACGCGCATGTTCGCGGGGGGCATCACTGAGCTCTCCGACTAAATCTGGCAGTACCTGTGCGGCCATGACTCGAATTTTTCGTTCGGTGGAGTCGTGGGGGACTCGCATTCATGATCAGCAAGAACTTCGGGCCTGTGATGCGAAGGCCAGGCGTGAGAAGCTCTGATTGTTTGAGGGAGTTTCTGTAGAACTCACGTCATCCTCACCCCCGGCGCGAAGAGCACGAGCCCAGAGCGGCCTCCGGCACCGTTTCCGGACGGATCCGCTGGATCCGCTGGATCCGGTGACGAATCCCAAACCGGCGCCCTCGCCTGAGACATCCTCACAAAACGGGCCCCGGGGGGGATGCCCAGAGGAGCCCAGAGCGGCCTCCGGCACCGTTTCCGGACGGATCCGCTGGATCCGCTGGATCCGGTGACGAATCGAGCGGCCTCCGGCAC